TGATGACTGACTCAAAGGATGTGGAGTTATGTGCTGAGCCACGCCCCCTTTAGAGTCCATTGGTCTATAGATTCAAATGCAATGAGATATCAATTACAGTTAAAGCACTGGTGATAAACTTCTGAAAAAAAAAAAAAAATCTCACATCATTCTGCTGATTTCAGGTATATTGTCAAATATTTGGTGACATTTGTTTTATAATGAGATGAAATATAAAATGTTGCAGCATGGCAAAGTTTTGTCACAATTCAGTGAATGTGCTGAAAAAAAAATCAGCTATGGAGAACATACTAGGGATTTATTATGATTTTTTGGAATATAGAATGTGTGGAAATTTAAATTTATTGTAATAAGCCATGCCCTCTTTTAGCAGTCATTTCCAAATTTTGTGCATCGACTGAGACATGATTCTAAATGGTGCAAACATAATTTTGTACAAATCTCTGTAGATGATTATGAGCATTTTGCATTTCTAGTGCCCCCTAGTGGTCAATTAGAATGAAACTTTCAGGGTATGATTCAGGTTCTTATGTGGACATTTCATTTAAGTTTTGTAATGATTGGCTCAGTGGTTAAGGAGTAAGGTCCCTTTATGGGCTAAGCCACGCCCCCTCTAAAGTTCATTGGTCAATATCATCAAAACACAATGAGATATCAAAAAGCTTTTTTCATAACTTTTAATAAGTTTGGTTGAATGATGATCCACAGACTCTTTGACTACAAATTAGACCTACAGTTTAGGAGGAGATGCCAAAAATGTGTTTTACAAAAAATCCAAAATGGCAGTAAATGTAGTCAGGTTCTTAACACATTCATAGAACACATTCAGCTGGACATGTGTGTCAAATTTCAAGTCAATCCAAAGTGCGAGGGGCTGGCCTTTCAAAACAAAATTTCTTCGACCTTAATCTTAGCGCCCCCATCTGGCCGATTGGCGTTATATTTCTTGAGTACCATTTGCTTACAACTTCCAATTATCATTGGTGTTAATTTCATATCTCTACAATGTACCATCTCACAGGAATTTGCAAAAACACATCTGAATAATGATAATAATGATAATAATAATAATAAGAATAATAATAATAATAATAATGATAATAATAATAATAATAATAATGATTAACAAAACAGCACAAAAACAATAGGGTTTCAGCCCTTCGGGCTTAAAACCCTTAATTAGTGGCTCTCCACACTGTAGTATAGTGCCGTGCACTTACACTGTTGCTTGGAAGTCAGTGATACGGAGGCAGAGTGATGTATCAAGCTCAAGTCCTGTGAACTGTCTGAGTGTACATGGATATGAATGTTCAATAAAGTACTGAGGTATGAAGTCAAAGTTAAAGGGATAGTGCACCCAAAAATGAAAATTCAGCCATTATCTACTCGCCCATATGCCGACGGAGACTCAGGTGAAGTTTTGAAGAGTCCTCACATCCCTTGCGGAGATACGCGGGGAGAGCGGCTAGCACACCTAATGGCTGACAACGCCCCAGACTAATGTCCAAGAACACAGAATTGAAACCACAAAGTATCTCCAACATCTGTAGTGATCCAAGTGTCCTGAAGCCCCGACATAAAAAGTTGTTTCGAAAAACATCACATGAACTCTGTTTTCAGCCTCACTGTAGCCTGTAGCTCTGACTGCTTCTCTGTGCTTTGCGCTCACGTGTGTGCGCTCAGGGTGATCGGTGATGCACGGTCTCTGAAGAGCAGCAGTCTCGTCAGTACTGACGTCCAGATTCTCAAGTGCAGGCATCGCCAATTCCCAGTCTGAGCAGCAAAGACTTTCCTCATCCGTTGGCATTGCTTTGCATTTGAAACAACTACACCACCAGGTTTCCAGTGCTCGACTCCGGTATTCTGCGGCTGGCTGAGGCTTATGAGCTGTGGCGGCTGCTTCGTCCAGTAGCCTGAGTTCCGCATCCGTATACTCGGGCTCAAACAAATACGGCTCAACAAAGAAATGCTGTTCCTCCTCAATTTCAAAGTCTTCAGACATGTTGGGCTGTCCTTTGCTGAAAGACCCTAGTGCAAATTATCTTTTAGCTACTGTGGTTACTGTTGTCTCTCCCTGCGGTACACGTGTCACGTGATGTAAACACAGGTAAGCAAAGCTCATGCTTTCGCTGGTTTCGCGCAAGCGCGCGCACGTGAACACGGAGCACAGAGAAGCAGTCAGAGCTACAGGCTACAGTGAGGCTGAAAACAGAGTTTAAATGACATTTTTCCAAACAACTTTTTATGTCAGGGCTTCAGGTCACTTGGATCACTACGGATGGGCATGTTGGAGATACTTTGTGGTTTCAATTTTGTGTTCTTGGACCTTAGTCAGGGGCGCCGTCAGCCATTAGGTGTGCTAGCTGCTCCCCCCACCGATCTCCGCAAGGGATCTGAGCACTCCAAAACTTCACCTGAGCCCCCGTCGGCATATGAGTGAGTAGATAATGGCTGAACTTTCATTTTTGAGTGCACTGTCCCTTTAAGCGCCTGACTTTTTTACATACCAAGTACCCCAGTCATGTGACACTACAACACACACATGATTTTATGCTAATGCAGAGGTGGAAGAGGTAGGGCCTACAGATCTTTCAGTAACAATAACTGAAAGACCTGTAGGTGGTGGCACTTGACGCATGTCTACTGACCAGAGTTGGGTATAACACGTTACAAAGTAACACGTTAGAGTACTTTGATTACTTTTTGCAGTAATGAGTAACCTAACGCGTTTATTTTGCTGTGTGAGTAATCAAATACTTAAGTACATTTTCAAACAAGACATCAGTTACTTCTGTTACTTTTAGAACGCTGGTCCTTCAGCTCAGAAACAGCAATGGCTGTCGTTTGGTTCTAATAACGGAGATAACGTTATACCTATCAGTCTAAAAGAAGCCACGGTGCTTGTGGCTGGCTACGTGGTAGAAGAAATGCTGCCATTGTCTCTCTAAGCGTGTTCCAGTTCCTGCCAATATCCAGCAACTTCGCACAGCCATTGAAGAGGAGTGGACCAACATTCCATGTATGTTGCACTGCGTGAGGCAAATGGTGGTCACACCAGATACTGACTGGTTTTCTGACCCCCCCAATAAAGCAAAACTGCACATTTCAGAGTGGCCTTTTAGTGTGGCCAGCCTAAGGCACACCTGTGCAATATTCATGCTGTCTAATCAGCATCTTGATATGCCACACCTGTGAGGTGGGATGGATTATCTCGGCAAAGGAGAAGTGCTCACTAACACAGATTTAGACAGATTTGTGAACAATATTTGAGGGAAATGGTCTTTTGTGTATGTAGAAAAAGTTTTAGATCTTTGAGTTCAGCCCATGAAAAATGGGAGCAAAAACAAAAGTGTTGCGTTTATATTTTTGTTCAGTGTATTATTTCAGTCACTGTGTCTGTGTCTTGGTTGTAATAACGGAGATAACGTTAAACCTATCAGTCTGAAAGAAGCCACGGAGCTTGTGGCTCGCTACGTGGTCGGAGAAATGCTGCCGTTGTCTACGGTGGAGTCTAAATAGGTGGAGTAGGACTTGCTGACAGACATATTTCAGACTCAGGACTTGCATTATGCCTGGTACACGCTACACGCTGGTATTCACCAATTATCCCCGGTTGTCTTTCACGGCGTGTGTGATGTCATCGGGTTATTCTTGTCCTGTTTTTATTACTTTCACAATTATTTGAGTCACTACCAGAACTGTGTCTGTTCATGTGCCAGCCGACATGTTGTTGTAGTCAACTAAAAGCATCAGCAGATGGCAGGAGCTACATTTGAAGCGCCATACGTAAACTGTCAAGCTACTTTACCTTCCACAGGAAGTTCTGACAAATGTTTCAGAATAAAAGCCTATTTAGAAAATGGAGGGATTCTCTCAGCCGAGGTTATAAGGGGCTTTTAATTTGAAACAAGTGTTGAGTTTGAAATGACGGTGCGATATGTTAACTTTATATATAAACACACAGAGGGATTAATAAATAACGGACCATCTATAATGTTGTTTGTTTCAAATGAAGCTGGGAGCCTCTGCAGTTGTGGTGAGTAAAAGCCCCGCCGCTATTTGCTATTTGTATGTCCGACCGTGAGGATGTACCATCGTTTGCTACCTTGATGTTAATGACAGTAACGTTAACTCAGCGGACTGACAAAGTGCCTCTGCTGTTTCACACCATCATTTCCCCCTTTTACTCTGTGTGGTAACATCCCTAGAGGAAATATTAAAAATCTGTAGAAATAGGCTACCTTACGCACTAAACAGTATCGTCTCTTTTTTGACCTACAGCTGAACAAATTATCAAAACAATTAAACACATTTGTAATTTTTACACGTTGATGCCTTAACCACATTTTAGCTGGTTGAAAAGATGGTGAAAAGAGATCTTAGATGTTCAGACCATATCAACTAGAAAGCAACATTGGAATCCCGGTTGGTGCTCACTGGGTTAGATAACATTAGCTAGACAGTAATTTTCACTGAGTATTTTCATGTCACATGAGCACGTGTTGTGATATTCTCATGTCAGCATTACTGAATAGTGAAAATTAAATGTAGTAAGCTTATTACTTGTACAAAACTAACTCCCTCCATTGTGGAGAACTCATGAACGATTAATATGCACTCAGAACACGGGCTGAGTGGGAGTGAGACACAGAGCTGACCGAAGTCTGCACTGCTACGTCCTGCAAAAGCACACCCATCCAGGCAAAACCCTGTGTTTTTAGAGAGTCCCCACAGCCAACATGTTATTATGATGCATGCTGGAATACCTCATTTAATTACCTATACTCCCCAACTGTGTATGTCAGGTGTGTGTTGAGATGGTCCTCACATTTCATCAGCTTTTTTGCTGCTTCTATCTGTATGTCCTCTTCTCTTTCCACTTCAAGCTTCTTTTTTTCTCTCTGTCATCTTCCTATCTGTTCTTCCCCACCTCCAGTCAGTTTCCTATTTTTTTTTTTATCCTTCCCCCACTTCAGCTCTCCACTGTTTTACCTTTACAGGCATCCCTGGACCTTTATAGTGAAGAAAGGTGACACTTCTTCTGCTGTGGAGGGTCATGCTGTCTATCAAGGTATGAGTCCATTTGATTTATTGATCTTTTTCTTCTGTCTAGACAGAAAAAAAAATTGCAGCCAACCTGATCTTATTTATGCAGAAGAAAATTCACGTTGTTAGTGATCTGTGTGTGTGTGTGTGTGTGTGTGTGTGTGTGTGTTGTGTGCGTGCGTGCGTGCGTGCGTGCGTGCGTGCGTGCGTGCGTGCGTGCGTGCGTGCGTGTTTGTTATCAGGAACCAAGTCCTCCTCAGAGGCCACGAGCTCTTGTGTTTTTCAGACGAGTTATGAGGAGCATTTTAGGATCACAGCCAGCAGTCAGTGGGTGCAAGGTAAGTTCTCTCTCTCACTCTCAGACCAAACCTTGGAAAATATGCCAACAATTTACATAGACTCACAATGGAGATACTGGCATTACACACGTGACACAATGGGTAGGGAGTGGCAGTGGTCATTTCATATACATGCAGCATTCACACAAGATGACAGGGTGCATGTACGTAACATACGCTACCCCTGAGTTAGTGCAGTATACACCACTCCTGCCTGTTCATGTAATGTCATATGTACACATGCCACAGCAACACACTGCACCTTGCTGTTTAATAGATAAACAGGCATGCACATAGGTACAGGTTATGAGACCCCAATTCCAAAAAAAGTGTAAAACTTTACAACTTTAATGGTGTCCCCTTGGTGAGGCCTAATATTGTTGTTCCCAACATAATTGGTGCCTCCGTGTGGCACCCTGACTTTATGTTCCCAACACTGTTGTGGCCCACATTCTCAAAGGTGGTGATCTTCCCCTGGCCTACAGCTACAGGCTGTCAGTATGTTCCCACATTATTCAAAGTATTTAAAAAACTGGTTGCCTGACAAATTATTGACTAGATTAACAATAGCTTCTTTCTACTGCATCCAATGCAATTTGAATTCATGGTAATCACTCGTCAGAATCTACACACTACTTCATAGAAAAGGTCAAGGCATTAATTGACAAAGATGGGGCTGTAGGCTGTGTTCCTTGATTTACAGAAAGCATTCAACACCACTGATCATATCATCCTGCTACAAAAACTGCTCAACTTCAGTTACTCTACAGAGCTTCTTAACCTTATCAAATCCTATCTCTCATTCCACTCCCAACTTGTCAAAATTGACAGCTGTGAATCTACTGCCTTATATCTACCGACTGGGGTCCAGCAGGTCTCTATATTGGGCCCAATCCTGTTCAGCACATATGTTAATGACATGCTTCTGTGTATGGTAAATGCAATATCTTCATGTATGCTGATGATAAAGTTATTTTTACTCATGGTAAAACTGCAGAGGAGGTTGCAATCAAGCTAACAAAGTTAATTTGAAGGTCACATCTTGGCTCAATCACTGTTTTGTACAAGTGAATGTTTCGAAAACAGTTTGTATATTTATTTCCAAATGTCACAATGTAGATGCAGAGCAAGATGTTATCTCTGTAGAAAGACTACGAGTTGTCTCAGAATACAAATATTTAGGAGTACATATAGATTCAAAGCATGGTTTCAAAACTCACATAAAAAGGGTCTGTAATAAGGTAAGGTTCAGTTGGGCAAATTCAAGTTTACCACAAACTTCTTGTTAAGTGAGGCAGATATGACATTCCTCCACTCAGTGTTTATCTCCCACATCACCTATTGTCTGATAAGTTGGTCTAAAAGACATTGTACAGCCTTAAAACCACTGGAATTATTATACAAAAAAGGACTTAAAATTTTAGACAAAAAGCCATTCAGTTGTCATCATTGCCATATTCTAAAGAAATATTACATGCTGAGAAGGAAAACCTTATGTAATACAAAAATATATGGTGAAGCTCCTCCTCCTCTGCCCAGTTTTATCAACTGGCAACAGAGTTACAAGTGGGGCCCTTAGGTGAGGCTGCACATTCCCACTCAGGAAAACTACGTTTAGCCAGGCAGTCTTTTTCCTTCAGAGCATCACATTTATGGAATTCAGTACCATGATCAGTTTAAATCCCCATCATATTATTCATTTGAGTGTAATGTTAAGAAATGGTTTATTTAGAACTAACAATGTCAACACCGATGCTAGGCTACTTTTATCTAACATTAAAATATATTAATATAGTAATATATATATTACTGTTCTCAAACTGTACCTGCAGCATCTGCTATTTGGATATTATTAGCTGAAATTGTTTAATTGTGTTGTATATTGTTAACTGTATATAGATAGATAGATAGATAGATAGATAGATAGATAGATAGATAGATATACTTTATTTAATCCCCAGGGGGGAAATTTAAAATGTCCTCAGCAGCAGGGGCAATAATGACAAAAAAAAAAAAAAGACACAGATCATAAGAACACAGCACACATACTGACACAAGAAAAATCCTAAAAGTACATAAGATCACAAGGTGTGAATAAAGGGTATAAAAAGGTGTATAAAAAGCAGTACAATAAATAGGAAGAATGGTTTAAAGTGCATATGAGTTTGATCAGAGGGAAGAGTTGTACAGTTGTATTGCTGTGGGTATGAATGATTTTTTGTAGCGCTCTTTTGAACAGCGGGGGAGTCTGTATCTGGTGCTGAATGTGCTCTTGAGTGTGTCCAGTGTTTTATGGAGAGGATGGGTGGTGTTGTATATGATCCTATTGAATTTGGCCTGGATTCTGTCCTCCACCACCTCCTCAAGAGTGCTCAGCTTCAGGCCAACAACAGACTTGGCCTTCTTAACCAGCTTGTTGAGCCTATTGGCATCCTTTTTCTTAACACCCGCCCCCCAGCACACCACGGCAAAGAAAAGAGTGCTAGCTACAACAGTCTGGTAAAACATTTGCAGCATCTTGTTGCATACATTAAAGGACCTGAGCCTTCTCAAAAAATACAGCTGACTCAGGCCCTTCTTGTACACTGCCTCTGTGTTTGTGGACCATTCAAGTTTATTGTCCA